GCTGGCACTAGGGTGCAAAATAAATTTGAGCTCTCATTGGTCGGCAGTGAAGATGAACGGTCATTCTATTGCGGCGCGCCCCAATTAACGGCCAGGTGCATGTGATAATCATCGAGGTGGCCTCTAACCTAGTCCGAAGACAAATTTTTCACGGGGCAGTCAGGGTTTCTTCTCATCGCGAGGCATGCTTGCTGCCCGGCCAAATCTACAATCCTTCCACAGCAGGACTGCCTGAAGAAACCGAAACCCAAATTCATTTGCACGGCTGACTGGAGAGGAGGAACAGCATTAAACTCTTCGCCGTCATCATCTAATGGGGAGTGGTCCTCTGACGGACCCGACTGCTTAAATGTGATAAGCTTCACTTGGACGCCCGATTGACAACATTATCGATATTGTAGTGCGACAAGCCCATGATTTACATTCTTTCCGGATACCGTCATGAGAGACTGTGTGAATGTTACCAGAGCATCGACCAAACGAGAAACGTGTTCAACGAACTCAAAGTCAAGCACTCCAAAAAGCTCGAATTTGTAGCGTACTGAATCACGACTGTGTAGGGGAAGGTACTTCAGCTCAAGCTCCGAAAATTCAGCAAAGAGATGGAAGTTGATGCCCTTGTTATGACGAGAGATCGCTTTAAGCCGGACTATGACAAACCTGATAAATCATTACAGCAATCGATTGTTTACTCGGTCAGGAAGGCCCTACAATCGACTGATAATAAAATTTCTCATGGCACCTCATTACCGTACCAGCAGGCACGAAAGAGCCGAGTTCTTTTTATAGACAGGACAACTAACTTTTGCGGTGCTATGATATCTTTAAGGGACTGAAAATATTGCACTCCATATAAATTGAACTCCACAGAAACGTTTACACCGCCGATTTCGATGGTGAACTACGGCAGATGGGTGGTTGGTGATGGTGAAAAGAGCGATCTTAGACCAGCTCTATCGTTTTTCGGAAGTAAAAAAGCGTTCATCTACAATCGACTGAATCAACCATGGAATTGCATATTATAGCTCACCAACGACCTTCTCTTGGGGCCTTGCGGTTGCATACACGGGAGAGCTTTTGAGGAAGTCCATAGAATCGGGACTGTTACCGAAACAGACCACAGTATTTTTCGCTCCACGTAGTTGCTAATTCCTGCGTCTGAAAAAAACTGCCTACCAGCCCTGGAGATTTAGCCTGGCGAGACCTAGAATTTCTGGAGCCTCCGAACCTTATAGGTCTGTCTGAAAACCCCCGTAGTCTTCGCGAAAAAACCGTGATTCTGAAAAAATAACGGGACAGATTCGCCCAAGTTTTTGAACTAAAACAGGGGGTGACGTTACAGGGAATAGATGTATCGATGCATCCGCAGCAGACCACGATTGTGGTCCAATTTTGAAGTCATGCCTTCTATCTGGCTAACCTGGACACGTGTTATCATTCAAACAATAGAACAAACCTTCTCCGCACACGCCTTTTTGATGGAGAAACAAAAAATCCTGCTCTTAAAACTGAGTCATTCATGGAATCGACCAACGCCTTGCAAATAATCTCCTTCAATATCACTCGTTCGATCACACTCACGATCGGTCCCACGTGAGTACAATGCATTGCGACGCACTGTACTACGTTCACCTACAGGACACTTAATGACCATTTGGCGGAAACAGCTACCCGGGCAACTTCATTAGCCGATGCACGCGAACGAGGAGCCAGCGGCCATAGCGAAGACAAAAGGAATCCCCACAGGTGTTGCCGGGAGTCGAGACTTTTAGTGAGATCTTAAGCCACCCTCTCATACGGACTCCTGTGGAACACGCATGCAGGTCGGGCCAAACATTTAAATCCACGACAAGATACGTCAGTATGCAGTTTGGAGGAAAACAGCCGCGTCAGTTAAACGAAAACATTGGTCTGGTGGTCCTCTCCCAGACACAAGACTGTCACGCTGAATGAAACTCCCTTCCACCCCCACTCCCGAGCCAAAGAGTCCTACAGGGAGGCCTGCATGCAACCCCGCAGGTGACTCAGACCAATTCGGGTCGGCAATCCGCAGAGGAGTTCGGCGATTTCGCACTGTTTACCGCTCCTCGGTGGAGTCGGAGATAAAGGCGCCCGAAAATGTTGATAAAGCGGGCCGCCGACAAGCTGTAACCGTGGCTTGTGAACGCAAGATAGACGGTCAAAACAATAGACAAAACAACAAACATCGCCATGCCCATCCCCCATACCTCCCACAGGCTGTTTAAGTAGCACTGTTTCCTCGAACGGCCCGAAATATTCGTGTGCTTTTTAACAAGCTGACAGCCGGCCGACTTGGACGGCCAGCTCTGATTATCGGGGGACTGATACTGTCACAAGGTGGATACTACGGATCTCAGTGAAACCCGCTTCTCCCAAGAGAAACAGTTGGGGGTGACGGTTACACTTTCGGTGATATGTGGCTATGTAGCCGCACCTGATGGACACAATACTGTTGACCTACTTAGTTATTATGAGTTGGTATGAGTACGTTGGCATGGGGCTGTTGTGCATTGCGGTGCGCGTTCTGATGACAGTCTTGTTTCTTTGTTGCCGTGTCTTCATTTTTTGGACCAATCCCATTGGTTCTTCTCGACTTTCGGCCTGTCGTCTCCTTCTTACTTTCACGTTGAATGTTTCAGGGTTAGGGTCTAGGGCTGTGGTTAAGGGTTAGGGGCTGGGGTTAAAGGGTTAGGGTGAGGGTTGGGGCTAGGGTGGGGGAAACTACTTCTCAGCCACCCAAAGTACAACCGCGCATTCCCAATAGCCTTTCTTTTGGATACAACTACTTGACTTCGTCGTCTGTGCGTTCCCCTGCCCCACCTGTAGAATCCCCTATTACCACGGGTCCCGTATTACAGGTGGGTGGGGTTTGCTTACCTCAGGTGCGGCTACATAACCACATCTGACCCCAATTTCTTCTGGAGCAGACGTCCAAAGGTGGGACTACGACGTGCCAGAGTCGCTTTCGTTCTCAAAAACGAAGCTGTGGGCCGGCTGTCTTATCTACCACAGGGAATTGACGATCACCATATGACCATGTGACTGTCGTTTCACGTTTCACGCCCCACCGCTTCCCAAATTACCACTTGGAAATTCTATGAAGATCTCCACATCCTGCTTGCAAGTGTGTCGAAATCGGACAGACTGATTCTTCCTGGCGACTCCAGTGACCGCGTCGGAACACACCACGCACCTCGGGGGATGTTGGGATGCCACGAGACTAGTAGTTGCAACAAGGCTGTATTTCTCCCTCTGCGGACCACCGTGAAACAAGTGGGAGCAAGTTTGAAGGCTACACAGCATACAGTGATTGACCGATCTCATGAAATGTTGGCTGAAATTCTGAAATGAGTTTTCGATTAGGAAGGATTACTTGGTCGCGGTTGTAATACTGATTATCTTGCGGCATAATCTTATAACATTTCGGACTCGTCAGGATGGCGGCTTTGGAATGCACTTCTTTTCGACCTCCTGTAGAAACCGTTCTCGGTAAAAAAATGACTACTTGAGTGGCATGCATTTTTCACATTAATGTTCGATGGTCTTATAAATTCAAACATATTTTATAGAAAACATGTACAAAAATATGCCTTCCTTTACTCGTTGGCTAGCAAATTAGACTTTCTTCACGTTTTATTCTCGGAGAAAGGGTGTCTTTCGGTTCTGAAAAAATTTCTAATTGTGAGATTTTTAAGGCCACACAATGTCCATTCGTACAGCATGTTTAAAAATGCTCCTCATGAAGTGCACAGCACCGTCCGCAAAAATTGCAAAATTTTATCAACTCTATATGACGCCTTTTTAAACGCATGGAGGAATGTATGATTTTCTTTTCGCCTGGATTTATGCCGAAAGTCTTATCCTAAGCTATTGTGCGACAACGGAAATGAAAGTTGTAATTGAACAATAAACAAAAGGTAAATTTCACCAAATAACGGATTTTGGGTTAAGGTGTGAGGTCGTAGGGAGTATTTGTTGTTGGCAGTGTAATTTCTACAACAGCGTGCAAGTGTGTGCCAAGACAAGACCATGTATGGCACGATCCACAGTCTACTGACAGTTAAGTGGGGTCCTTCTCTATACCGTTGCCACAATTGCTTCTGGAATAGAGGTGAATTTTCGAATTCTAGGCGTCTGTATGAGTAAGAAACAAAAAGATTGGTCGATCACCGGAACCATTCATCTATTTGCTTAAGATTTCGAACTCGTTCAGAAAATTTTTGTGCTTTCTTCCATTTTTTCAGCTTACTGTCCAGCGTCTAGCACCACCCATAAAACTCCCTTTACCATTAATCACGTATGGCACGATCCACAGTCTACTGACAGTTAAGTGGGGTCCTTCTCTATACCGTTGCCCGTAACCCACCGTTTCAGAAGACACCAAGGCAAGGACGAGTTCCGCGAACCTTCGAGGATGTCAAGGTGGTTGTGCACATCCACAGACACAGGGTAAATCGGCAAATCTGTGATAATCTCAGAGGCATCTCTCTCTCTCCTGATGATTGCTGAAGGAATCTTTCTCCGCATCCTATTCAGTCGCTCGAGCATGCATCTGGAGCAGAAAATCATTCGAGAAACATAGCGGATTTGCAGCATTGGTCTTCGGGGCCTGGCGACTGCAAGAAATGTACAACGGACTGTGGGTCTGACTCCGCACCACGTTCATGGGTCTTCCGAAAGCCAGTGACGCAGGGAACCGCAACGGACTGTGGGAAATTCTGCCAAAATTAGGATGGTTATAGGAGTTTGCGCAGATAGTGCGACAGCTGTGTGACTGGATGATGACTCGCAACACAGGTAATGAAACAGTCTCGGAGGCATTCACGGAGATAAAACGGGTGGAACATGATTGTGTACTCGTTCCGACCCTCCTCAACGTCATAATCTCTGTCTTGCACTACCGTGAAAAACGGACGAGTATTCACACCACCTATCGAACAAACAGGGAACTGCCCAATGTCCGCTACACCCATACTTCTATGCGGGTTTCAAAGCCCAGCGTTTGCGACCTCTTCAACGCGGATAATAGTCAGTCAAATACAACGATGGAAGCGGACATGCAGCGAAGCCTGGAACTTTTGGCCCCCGGCCGCCCAAACGTTGAAGTGACAATTAGCCCAGAGCAGTCCGTGACCGTGTGTCAAGCGGATCTATCTGACGACTACAACCAATCCGTAGTAAGAGTTTAATTAACTTGCCTCACACCAGTAAACAAATTCACGTAGCTGGGGAGTGAAATTCCAAAAAAAAATGAAGATCGAAAACCAAATTACAAACCGAAGCTCCACTGCAGGTCAGGTCTTCGGCAGGTTGTCTGGGGTATCCTACAGTGGGTAGGTTAACTCAAGAAATCTCAACAGGAATTCCGAAACGCGTTTTCGTTTCGAAAAGATTAATTAAGTAGGGTTGTAAAACCAATCATCATGCAGCATAATTCTATAAAAATTCACTTAGCCCAGGACGCCGGCTTTTGAACAAACATTCCTCCGCCTGCATCCAGAAACCATACTCCGTAAAAATGACTGCTTAAGTAGCATGCATTTTTTCATTGATTTTCGATGCCCTTCAAGATTCAATTATATTTCATGGAGGACATGCACAAAAATACTCATTCTTTTGCTCATTCGGTAGAAAATTACTTCTTCTTACAAGTTTATACTCAAGGGCAGGTTATAATTTGGTTTAAAAAAGTTTCCTATTGTGAGATTTTTTAAATATCGTGTAATGGCCGTTCAAAAGACGTTATGTCTCTGCATTTACCAATGTGGCTTGTAAAGGTAACAATGTGGCTCAAATCCATCGCTTCATTTTATGAACCCCATATGGTCTCCTCTTAATACCGTAGATAAATGTATGGCTTTCCGTACGCAGAAAACATATGGCTTGTAGTTTGGAGACCCTGAATGCAAGTGTGACGGCAGGTCGGGTTCAAAATTATTCGGGAATTTGAAAAGTTTTATAAAACCAAATTATACCCTACCTTCGAGTATAAAATTAAAAGAAGACGTAATTTTCTACTGAATCAGCAAGAGAATGAATACCTCTATGCATGTTTTCTATGAAAGAGGCTTGTACGAAAGCCGGCATCCTGGGGTAACTGAAGTATTATGGAATTATGCTGTACGATAATTAGTTTGACAACCCTACTTAATTTATCTTTTCGAAACGAAAACGCATTTCGGAATTTCTGTTGAGATTTCGTGAGTTAGCCCACTTACTGTATATACACAGTACTGCGTAAGTGCATAGCTGTTGTCCCGTAAGGGACGAATATATGGACAATTTATGAAAACAGAGAAAGAAAGCTAGACTACTTTCACCCCAGCCGCCTCCGAAAAACGCTAAAGATGAGGTGGCGGAAAAAGGAGCCTATCCATGGAGATTCTGGGAGGAACTAGGGATTTGCCGAGGCAGAGATAACTGCGTTGGAGCGACTACGTAGTAAGGGTGAATGGCAAGCGCCTGTCTGAAGCATCATTGCGTCGCTGTGGGTGCACGCAGACGTGGAGTACCCTGTAAATCAGTCTTGCGACGCTTTGAGGCCTCGCACATTATCTACCGATGTGGAGCACTGCTGGCACGATTAATGACGGTATCTTCGAATTCAACGGAAGAACGGCTGCTAGGGCGACATGAGAAAATCGCGGAGCTCAAGTGCTGCGGATCAATCACGCGAGCACTGAACTGCTACCATTGCCAGTGAACATTCAGGGCATGGAGTGGTGTGTTAGATCTTTTCGAATTCAGTGCAGTGTCCACACGATCACCGTGTCCCACACCTCGCAAAACACTGCAACCAGCGCCAGTAAGAACATTCTTGCTATTCGGTTCGCCATCATTGCCACAGCTCTTTTCACTAGTAACGTGTATTAATTCCCAATCTATTCTCATCCCGATCGCACCCTGCAGTGACGCACCGGCCTGCACTGACGACCTCACAGTTCGACCGTCGTTGCCGACGATGTCCACCGTGTGCTTCACAGCAAGGGGAAGCAGGCACGGTGACCTGTGCGTGAATTAGTTTATAGTGAGTGTAGACTTGCGCTGCATCTACAGCACTCTCTCCTCCCTCACCTGGACTTGGTGTCAAGACATAATCCGGAAGACGGGGGACGTGAGAGGGTGCAGGTGGCTGGCACGGCCGGATCCGCACTTAGGCGGACCACCACACCCCTGGTCCACAACATACACTTGACCAGTATTTTTCACCAACAACAACACCCCGACAGGGGTCAGAAGGATGATGATGCTGATGACGACGACGACGGCGGCGGCGATGATGATGATGATGATGATGATGATGATGATGATGATGATGATGATGATGATGATGATGATGATGATGATGATGATGATGATGGCTGGGCAACCATGCCCAGCGGAAGCGCAAGCTCATCTACCTACTTGGGGCCAGGTGTCAGGGAACTGCCAGCGCATACTAGGCCGAAAACTTCACGGTTTGCTGATACAGGAATAGCACATGCTTTAAAACCATTTGACTTCTGACGACCTAATGCCAGGAGTTCCAATATACGCCTATCAGTCGCGACCGACTTTTACTTCTGCCCTAGGCCATTCGGCCATGCGCCCATCCAGGAAAATCGCTAGTAAACTCGGAAAGGGCACTTTTTCACGTGCATGAGAACACTGACAGACTTTCAAAAGCCAGACTTCAAAAAGTTTAAAACTCAGCGCAAACGCAAGCTTGCTGGCTGTGTTGAAGGCATAAGTGACTGCTCATTCAATAAGCCGAATCCCTAAATCGAGCTTTCAAAACACGCACTGTACACTGGAATAAAACATCATAACGGAGTGGATTATGGAGACTTAGTGAACCGCAAGTTTGAGGACTACACAATCCTCGTACATGCAATATAATCAAAACGATACGATAGTTCTACCGTCGCTGATAGAGATGTTCACCGTGTGTCCCACAGTAAGGTAGGCACACGGACGGTAGCGTGTGCGCGTGCACGCTAGTTGATAGCGATGACAGACTTGTGCAGCACCTACAGCACTCTCTCCCTCCCCACTCACCTGGGCCCGGTATCAGGGAAAAGTCAAGAAGACCGGGGGGGGGGGCGGAAGTGGGCGTAATGGCCGACAAGGCTGTACGGTGCGTTTGCGCGTTCCACACACGACCTGACCTCCCGCACAAGACGTCAGGTTTTCACAAAAAGGGCAAGGCGTGGGCTACTTGGAGCTAACTTGTGTTAGAGCGTCAAAAAGGCCTGGTTAACGGGAAGTCAGTGAGTCTGACTGCCAGTCCGACAGTCGGCAACTTCACACAGACACACACACACACCCCAGACTGACTAAGAGGTCTGTGAGCAGTGAAATTATTAGGCGCTGTTATTTGCTGCTGGCGAAAGGATAATAATATTCCATTTTAGGACTAAAGTAACGTCATTATATCTGATGGAGGGGGTAAATGACGTCTGATTTTCAGAAATTTACTCTTCTGGTCTACACTAGTATGCCGAGAGACGACGTAAGACACTGGACAACAGAGTTGAAAAGCCTCTGCCGTACTCTGGGCAAAACAGTGCCACGTCAGTTTGCGACGGATTACGTCGTGGACAGACGACCAACTTGTGAGGTAGAAGGTTGAGGAGCATAGATTAGTTCACCCAGCTGAACCGCGCCTCTGCAATTACACAGTCGGCAGACCGTTCTAAGTGAATTTGGGTGGTCAGTGGTTCAAAGACGTCGTGTGCACGTGCCCTGGCTGTGGGAATCCCCTACTTCCCAGCGTCTGCTTTGGATGAAATAATCCTGCTATTCACCAATTTCGTTGTTTTGTTAAAAGGAAAAAAATTAATTTCTCGATAAGGCTAAGAGTCGCCCACAGGAGGCTCCGGAAATTCTTATTCTCCTTAATTTGAATGGTTAGACACCCACGGCAAGGTTCGCTAAGGATCAGGTTGACCATGACACGAGTTGGTTGGACAAAAGTCCCCCAGGGTGCCCCATGGGGGTTACTGAAATCAGTAACGAGTAGAAAATGGATTACTGGAGCACTACGTTTGAGTTAGGTTTGTTGTTTTTATGACAGTCACACGCGCGTGAGGTCCGAGCCGGCCCTACTCAGTCTGGCACGCGTGTGGCGCGCGTAGACGGGCTGTTTTACGCTGTCAGCTGCAAAGTCCAATCCACCTCCCAACCGTCTAGTGGATGAAACGGGGACCAGATCGCGCGTGTGGCACATGAAAACAAACGATTCAGCGCTCCCAGCCAATGTATTCGCACCACTTCTGGTGCATAAGTAACTAATACTACACCCGTTCCGGGGGGGATACCCGGAGGCCTCCGTCGCTTACGTCGATCGTGCTGTTGTCAGATGTCCAGAATGCCTCCCAGAAAGCACTTTAAGAGAGAAGTCGCGCATTTTTTCCAGAGCATTAAGCCCGGAAACAATACTAATTGCATGATTGTTTCACGACATATACAGTGGGCATGCTAACTCATTAAATGTTAACGGAAATTCCGAAATGCGTTTTCGTTTCTAAAAGATTAATTAAGCAGTGTTGTAAAGCTAATCATCCTGCAGCATAAATCTATAATAATTCAATCACCACAGGGTACCGACTTTCGAACGAACTTCTTTCCGGCAGCATGCAAAAGCTATACTCTGTAAAAAATGACTACTTAAATAGTCTTCATTTTCCCATTGATTTTCGACGTCCTTAAAAATGCAATTATATTTCCTGGAAAACATGTATAACAATATTCATTCTTCTACTTATTCGGCAGGAAATTACGTCTTCTTCCAATTTTATACACGAAGGAAGGGTAAAATTCGGTTTTAAAAAGTATCTAATTATGAGATTTTTTAATATCCCGAAATGTCCATTCACAAAACGTCATGTCTCCGCATTTACCAATGTAGCATGTAAAATTAACAACACGGATCGAATCGACTGTTGAATTTTATGAACCCAATATGGGCTCCTCTTAATACCGTGGAGAACTGTATGGTTTTCCGTGCTTGGAAAATATATGGCTTGTAGTTTGGAGACTCTGAATGCATGTGTAAAGGCAGGTCGGGATTCAAAATTATTCGGGAATTGAAAAGCTTTTGAAAACCGAATTATACCCTTCTTTCGAGTTTAAAATTGAAAGAAGACGTAATTTTCTACTGCATCAGCAAGAGACTGAATACTTTTATGCACCTTTTTTATGAAATATAATTGAATTTTTAAGGGCATCGAAAATCAATGAGAAAAATGCATGCTCCATAAGTAGTCATTTTTTTACAGAGTGTGGTTTATGCATGTAGCCGGAAAGAAGTTCATATGAAAGTCTGTATCCTAGGGTGATTGAATTATTGTATAATAATGCTATACATTGATTAGTTTTACAACCCTGCTTAAGCTATCTTTTCGAAACGAGGACGGATTTTGGTTGACATTTCATGAGTTAGCCCACCTACTGTATTACATAGTTGATGTTGTCCACACAATCAGGGACGGGACGGGAGGAGACTGGGAATTCCAGTCGTACCACACCCCCCGCGAGTATCCATGAGCTTTCAAGTCTCATATGGCAGGCACCGGTGCCACAGCGAAGCTAAAACTCGCTCGCAGAAAATGTGCGGCCGAGCGTTTACAGCGACCTTCAACTTTCAAAATTCCTGCCGTGGTTTCACCTCCCAAATAAGCTTTCCATCTGCATTTGTATAAAGGGACTTGAGGTTGAGAAGAGAAACCGGTTACTGGGACGAGAATTTGCATCTGCCTGGCGGTTCGGATTCATACTCGAACCCACCATCAGAAGCGGTTGCAGATGAGGGTCGAATTCCCGGTGATGGGAAGATTTATGAAGCAGATGACGAGAATTGCGATCGACGACTGCCACTGGTGTCTACATCAATACACGTCATGATCAAAAAGGGTGTGTGTCCATATCTCGGTAATTGTATAGCTGGGGAGCTTGCACGGACAATCTTTGCTCGCGTACATTCCAGACAAACCAAGAAGAGAGCAGGTTTGGAACAGAAACTGGTAGTGATAGGGTGTAGGACCCACAAGTAGATGACACCTACAAAAATAAACCCTAAAATTCTGTACGACTCTAAACATCATTTATTATTCACCGTTCCCATTGTTTGAAATTCCCTTCCCTTCCTGACTAAATGTAGACTTACCAGCCGCGCTTTATTCAAAGTCCGTTATTTAAAAAAAATTGCTTTTTGTTTATTTTTAAATCATCGCGCTCAATTTCTTTTCCAAATGGAAAAATTTATATATTTTATATTTTATATTTATTTATATATTTTCTGCGTCTTCTTGCTCTCCGACCCGTGTGCTGCCCCACACTTTAAACCCCTCTACACGACACGTCCACAGGTTAGCTCAAGTTAGTCGTGGGTCCTAAACCCTATCGTTGTCAAACACAGGAAGGTTGGACGTGGTCTATAACCACTCGTCTAAACGACTACTAGGGCAGCAAGTAAGAGCGTAACGGCATGAAACTTGTTTTGACACCGCGTATGCCGGTTCGATCGAACTCATTGCAGCCCCGAAAGAGATTACTGCGAGTGGATCAAGAGCTATGAAGGAACTGAGGAAGGAGTAGGGTATCATTTTGCTCGCTGACAAGGGACGATCGACGGTTGATATGAACCGAGGTGACTACAATGAAAAAGTCAAGGCTGAAATATCTCGAAGACGATTCGACTACCTCAGTCCGATCAGACTCCCAGTGCCTTGTAGACCCCCACGGTCGGAGGACACAATCGGACGAAATCATGGCCCCCTCCGACGTGACGTCGTTACTCACATCCATCTCACCAAATCTGGTACAGGAAGTCTTGCGCGCGAAACTGGAGGAGGCATAGAATGAAACTTAGAATTAAGTATCTTATGGACCTGTGCGAATTTTGCCAAAAAGCTTACTTGGCCTTTGCGGGAGAAACCGATGATCAGGTCAAGAGAACTCCAATGGACTCTCTAGTCTCCGGTTTAGTAGAAGAGCTGGTCGTACAGGAACTAATAGACAGTACCTTCACCCAGCAGGGAGCTGATCTTTTGGCGCCGTTACGTCGACGACATGTTTGTTGTTGTCAGTAAGAACATACCGCAGAATTCCCATAATCTGATCAACTCAATATTCCCGGATATTCAATTCACGAGGAGTCAGCAACTGCGTTCCTCTAATGTTCTCGTCAGGCGGATATCCAGCGGCCAAATTGAGACGACGGTTTAGAGGAAGGCGACGAACACCAAGCAGCTTCTCAGTTTTCACAGTGACTCACGATTGAAGCTGTGTGAGAACACTCTTAAAACTGGTTCAGACTCACTGCATCAGCCTCGAAAAGCACGCAAGGTCCGCTAACAATTTATGTGGAATGGCTACTCGAAGGCGTTTATGGGCTGATGCTTACGTGTCACCCCTGGAGGACCCCAATGGAAACACAACCGATGATATTGCGTGCTCTGCCAAACAGAAAGGATCTTTTAGAAGCGACCGCGGGCATTGATGAAGGACTAGGTGTCGGAACTGTC